CAAGAATGAAAGAAGAATTTTCTGGATCGTGCATTTGTGGTATCTGAATAAAACTAAGGACAGGATTGTAGTGGAGCGATGAAGAGAGCGACGAGCAAAACGTACTTTCAACTAAAATGCTGATATACACAGAGAAATTTTCGTTTTCAAATTTGTATGGAACTTTTTAATTTTAAAAACGTTTTGACCCAGGTTTTGCACCTACAATATTGATTTAAATTTTGAGAACGGAAATTTTCAATTCAATTTCCAAAATCCATGTTTTTGTTTTTGGTACTCAAATTTTCAAATCGTTTTTAAAAACGATCGTTTGATAATTGAATATACGCATGTTGTAATTAAATCCTAAAATGTTTTTTCTTCATTTTAAAAATATGCATTTTTAAATATGATATTCAAATTTTATTTTTATTAAATCACAAGTCATTTGGTATATACATACCATGTAAAAAATATATTGATATACATATATACTTATAAATAAGTTACAAAATTTAATAAACAAAATACAGATGTTTTACAAATACTATATACATACATACATACAGATGTTCCCGCCTTACTTCAACGCTGGGCCTGCTAGTTTTTCTTCACGCTGGTCAAACCCGGTAATTTAAAGCAAGAAAGTTTTAAATTATAATTTAATAACTCATAAGAATTTATTTTTGTAAATTATTCTTACCAAAACTTTTTTCGGTCGAAGAAGTCCACCATATCACCAATGTCCCTTCCATGTAGTTAGGTGGTTAGAATGGCGGTATTGTTTGTATATACTTCATCACCTTTTTTGAAGATTGAATTACCTTATTTATATCAATACAATTTTTTCGACAAATGATGCAAACATATGAAATGTTTTTCATTATAGCTAGGTAGCTTTTTAAATTCTTATGCAAAACATTTTAGTTTTAAATATTTTTCATAATTAATTGACTGAAAATAAATTAAATTTTTTATTTTAAAAGTGTATAGTTTTATTTTACTTGTTGAAAATTGTGTCGCACTACAATTCGTTGGGAGAAAATCCTCAAATGTTTCATTTTAGTTTTGAAAACACGCATTTTTTCCGTTGTTTCTTTAATTTTGTCTGTTCTCCTCAGTAAAAAAGTAAATATATTATAACGATCGTTTTTGTTTTGCGAATGTTTCGTTTTAAAGTCGTAAATACAAATACTGTATTTTTTATTTTGTATGAAGTAAAATTATTTCAAAAACTTTTATTTTACAATTTCTTTTAAAAACTTGCGTTTTACCTGTATCATTTTCTCTGTGTACATACCTAAGTACATATGTATGTATGTGCATAGATACGTATGTGCATAGATACATATATGCATAGATACGTATGTACATAGATACGTATGTGCATAGATACATATATAAGTGTCCGCATATATTTTTTCTCGTCACTTGTTCTGTCGCTTCACTGCAGCAAAACGAAGTTGTGGGGAAAACCCTGACGATATGCGTACAATTGAAACCATGGGTTTGAAGATAGCGCAAATTGATGTGAAAATTTCAATTTCATATTAAATACATTTATGTATGCATGTACATATGTACATATGTAAAAATGTAGTTTAGATTTAAAAAAAATCGGATAGTTTTTCTTTCGCCATTCATACACCTCTTATTTTAGTAGATATTTATTAAAAAAAAACTCAATGAAATTCAAAAACTCTCTTGCATTTGGTTTTACTCAATACCAATTTGAGCTGTCGCAGTGTTGTCAAAAAAAAAGTTATCAATGGGTAGGTTCAGAAAAAAATCAGTGATCGTTATGCGTCTTCTGAACGACTTTATACATTAGCTGTCAAATTCAACTCTCAAAGGTACACACCAACATGTTGTGTCAAATGATCAGAAAAATATTACGATCATATAACACGCAACTATTCAGTTGATCAGAAGTACGCAACAACGCGTTCAGAAAGTGCAATCGCACCAGTTACTGAGCTGTTCGTTTCTCTTGAAATCAAGTTATATGGCTGTGTATGTATGTACATTAAAGTGGTCCAAAAATGTATGTAAAAAAATAAGGTCGGAATTTTTATGCCGGCACCCCCTAGGATTGTTCTATATCGAAAAAAAATATACCCCTATTTTTTATTTTGAAAAAAAAAAAAAATAGGGAGTGCTCAAAGCGCTCAAAGTTTTGCATGTATTTTATATGGGGGAAAAACAACTTTTCGTAGAAATAGTGTAGAGTTCTTGAAAATCAACAGTTTTCGATCGGAAAACTTTTCTTATCTTCAGGAGATTCCCAGTAATAATACGCAATTGTCTCTTTAACCATTTTTTCATAGTAACTATATTTTATAGGTCCTCTAAAACCCCTAGAAAATGCAAATAGTTAAATAAACAATTGGATATTAATACTGGAAGTCTCCTGAAGAGAACCACAGTTTTCCGATTGAAAAATATCGAGTTTTAAGAGTTTTATACCATTTCTACGAAAAATGGTTTTTTCTCCATATAAAATACATGGAAAACTTTGAGTGCTTTGAGAACCCCCTAAATATTTTTTGATTTCAAAATAAAAAATAGGGGTATATTTTTTCGATATAGAACAATCCTAGGGGGTGCCGGCATTAAAATTCTAACTTAATTTTTTTGGACCACTCTAATGTACATATGTACATATTCCGAAATTTTTTTTATTTGTAAAGGCTCTCAAGAAAAACTAGAAATTCATATAAAATTACGCACAATAAATGGAAAATAAATTTGCTTCTATAAAAAATTTCTTAAATCAGTATGCAGCTCTTAAGAAAAAATGCTCGTACATCTCGTCGCTACCATGTCCCACTATCGAATGTGAAAATCGGCACTTTTCAAAATTTTGATTTGCCACTAATAATTTTATTTCGTATAGCAGCATTGCTTAAGTTATTGTTTTTGACAACTTATTTGTTGGTTAATGACTGCAAATAGTTTTATAGAAAATGAGAAATAATACTTTCATAAAAATTTAAGTACATACATAGATTTAAAAAGTTTGCTTGAATACAAGAGTTTTATGAAAATGTCACATTAAACATATGTCTATATCTACGTTATTTTTTTATAAATAAGGCCGTAAATATTTCCTTACATCGTCAATTTCCATATTCCATTTTTACTCTTTTAATTTCACTGACCAGCGCCGGAAACGATATCAACTAGTAGGCTAACAACCAGAATTGAAATTTAATACGCAAGTACTTACCATACTACAAGTATACAGAGAGTAGATTTGCTACTCCCTTTTGGCAGCAGCAAATATCTCTCGTACGCGATGAGAGAAAGTAGAGTACCTACTTTGGTGGAGTAATAGCAAGTACGTCAAGTATTTACTCTCTCAACGCCAAGTAGGGTATGTATGCGGAAAAAGAGTAACAATGTGTTGGGAGTAGAGTACAATGCAAGGAGTACTTATTGAACGAAATGCGGCAAATACACTTGCGCTGGACTCTAATACATATGTATGTACAGTGCCACACGAAATTATTGACACAGGGAATTTTTCACATTGTATGTAAACTTTTTTACTTTAATTTTTCCTCTTAATTTTTTTATAAAAATTAGTTCATACCAACAAAAAAATAATTAACCCTCGAAACTTTGTACAAAACTCAGGAAAAGTCACCAAACTTACATACAAGTTTGCAACTTTTTAATAAGATTTTCTATAAAAATTCTAAGTATGTAGTTTTATAGCCTATTCAATTGCAGTATAATGAAGTGCAAGTTTTAAGTTGGAAAAAAGCGCGTTGATTTTTGGCAATTTTTTTCACATAGTTTCTTTCATACGAAGAATGATCGTCAACTTTTTTGTATGAAAGCTGCGTGAAAAAAAAAATTGCCAAAAGCAACGCGCTTTTTAGCAACTTAAAGCTTACACTTTCTTATACTACAATTGAATAGGCTGTTAAACTGCATACTTAGATCTTTTATAGAAAATCGTATTAAAAAGGAGCAAACTTGTATGCAAGTTTGGTGAATTTTCCTGAGTTTTGTACAAAGTTTTGAGATTAAATTTTTTTTTGTTGGTATGAGCTAATTCTTATAAATAAATTAGAGGAAAAATTAAAGTAAAAAAGTTTACATACATTGTGAAAAATTCCCAGTGTCAATACTTTAGTGCGGCACTCTATATGATTTTTTATTACAACATATCTAAGTGTTTTATTACTTCGAAATAGTAATACATATTTATAGCCATGCTTACGAGAATTAAATGTGCGTAAAAATTTCCAAAATTTGCTATTCTTAATTTTTAATTATTAAAAGATTCGCGGATGTTATTTCTTATTGATCTCGCAATCTCCATATTGCGCGTCGGCGTAGTAGTATGAACTTCGTGAGCTTCAGGAAAATTTACCTCGACTTCGCCATCGGGTATTTCGGGTACATTCGCTCTGAAGTAAATGCAGGTGTTGTGTAAGCAACAAGTAGCATTAATACTTTGTGCTGCTTTCTTTGGCGTGTAATGTAGTTCTCGAGCACCAAGGATACATCTCCACCTGTTTTTTAAAACCCCGTTTGTTCTCTCAATAATGTTGCGACATTTCGAATGTATTTCGTTGAATTTCATTTCTGCTTGGCCTGGCATCCGATAAGGAGTGATAAACCAAGGTTCCAACGGATATCCAGCATCACCTTAATACACGTAATTGAAAATATGTATGTTTTAATTTCTAGGCGAAGATACGTGCATAACTATGTACATACAT